TTCGTGGTACTTATGTCGTCTGCTTTGCGGTTTTTTGTTGTTACCGCGCCTGTTTTTGTTTCTGGAACTGTCGCCGCCTGCAGAACGCAAACAGCTTTTGAGTGGAAAGGATCGTCTGCTAAATACGTCGGCTGTCGGCGCCGTATGCTTGTTCGTTGGTGGCAGTTGGTGTCGCGACCGCTTGCGCCATCTTTTGTCGCCCGTGCAAAACGGCGCCGTATTGTTTGAAGACCAGTGGCTTCGTTGCGTTTCCATAGGAGCTAAGCCTTTTTCTTTCTTTGCCTTTTCCACAGGTAAATTCGCTCTTCGCAAACTTTACAAAACAATGCACGATCTGTGGGCAACGTTGCAAAGAATCATAGCGCGATAGGTCAAGAAACCGAATTTCGCGGTCGACTTAAAGAGCCTTGCCACTACTTGGGATGCCCGGTAGAAAGAGTAGCACGTAGAAAGGGACATTGTTCTCATGTCTGCTTAGATAGAAATAGCGCGTTGTTTAGCCACTGAAGAGTAAGGGCGTTATTTTAGCCCCGCTGCTCTTCGTCGAAAAAGGGCACGTTCTCGGATCGCTCATAAATAGCCACTAAGCTGGCAGTCGGCGCCTCTAGTGACGAACCTATCACGCGGTTACTGACTGACGAGATCCCGCGAGGCCCACGAGCAGCGCAGGTCAGGACAAGATGAGGCCGCCGCGCCTTGCGTGCCACCGATTGATGCGTAGATACTCAGGAGAAAAAAAAAAGTTTCTGCAGCGTTACAAAGTCATAGCGTGACGAAACGCTGCGGCCGCGGCCATGCAATCTTAGAAAAAAAGGTATCTATAGTCCTGCCTAGAATAAGGGAGGGACGGTCTTGTAACCTATGTTCCTTTAAAAAGGGAGAAACTTTCGTCCCTAAGGCAGGGGGGCAAAGTTCCTCCGTCACCTGCATCTCAATATGGCGCCCCGAATCGAGCAAATTGAGCTCAGTAAGGCTTAACGAAGACTCTACGTCTCCTGTATGGGACGACAGGAGCAGCAAATAAAAGCGTAAGTCGAGCTTTCTGCGAACTGTGTCTATTTTCGAAAAGAGCTTCCCCCCGCAGGTAAAGAAACTTGCGTTTCAAAAGCAGTTACTCAGTCTTCTCGTCGTCAGCACTGCGATGTTAAACGGAGACGAACGGCACCCCGTTACTCCGCGCACCTTTGCTATTCCTCGAGTCACCGTCTCTTCGTCAACCGCATATCACGGAAGAAACGCAAGCGAATCCGCGAAACCAAATGCCGCTATCAAAAGAACAAACTCGAAGCCGCTGTTTATCGCGTAGCGTGAAAGAAGGTTAAATCGCTTGCCACCAGATGGCAGGGTCAAGCAGAGTAACTGCAAGTAGCAAGGCTAGGTGGCGCTAGGTACCGCTCAATTCATGTTCTACAAAAATAATTTGATTTCCTCACGCCACCATTGCGCTTCGGGATCTTCGGGAACGTTTATTATACACACATTTAGACAATTACGCATACTACAAGCATCAGCTGAACACATACATTGATCGCATACACATCCACGACACATACAAACATCAATACAACAGCACACTGACCCTATTACTACTTCCGAATTCTGCGATTCCGTCTTTTATACTGGTAGTTTTGAGCGTACGGAATTTCTCGGTGACCGCCTAAGCAATAAGAAATTTTCCCAGGATGTTGAGTTTTTCCAGCAATTTCATACCTCTGAGAGTATTTTGAATGGCTCAGGGGATGAATATCTTATATGAATATCACGTGACCTCCCCCTCCCGAGGTCCTCCCGAGGTCCTCCCGAAGGAACCCGAGGTCCTTGGTGGGGGGGGGGGGGGGGGGGGATGGGGGGGTGGCCGTGGTTACGCCGACGCCGCTCAAGCGGGAAACGGGCGCCTAAGAGCTGCGCTCTAAAATAACATCCGAAAGAAAGAACTCGCAATCGACTAGTGACTACTGTTTAATGTCGCGCAAGATATACAACAGACTAGGAGGTCTGGAGATAGACAAAGAAAGCACAAAAAGTCATAGGAGCGACCATAAGTGATTCAATAAGATTTGGCACTGTAAAACTAGAAATCACCATCATCATCATCATTTATTTTCCTTGAGGGCCCCAGGGGGCAATATACAAGGGAGTGAACACAATAAAAACATCAACAGAAATAGTTAATAAAAAACACGCTGTAACCTATACTTGTATTTCAGAAAGAAAGAGGTTAACGGCTGCAGCAAACTTGTTAGTGTCAGTCATGTTTACAATGAGGCCAGGTAGTGAGTTCCAATCGTCAATAGCAGATGGTAAAGTCGACATCTTATAAGAGACAGATGACGAAGTAATTGAGCGCAGTTTACATGAGTGGTCAAAACGAGAGAAAATACGGTAGGGAGGTGGTAGTAGAGAATCTTTTAGATGGTTGTTGTGGTAAAAGATTTTGTGAAGAAGAGTGAGACGTGATACCCTTCGACGTAAAGAAAGTAAGTCAAGGTTAGCTGATTTGCGTAATCCTGATATGCTAGTGTATGGGGAGTAGTCAGAGTAAATAAAACGAAGACCTCTGTTTTGAACGGATTCAAGGTTGTTAGATATGATTGCCATGGTGATCATATGGATGAAGCAAATTCAAGTTTAGATCTGACCAAGGTCGTATAAGCTAGTAGTTTTACTGAAGGTGTAGCTAGTCTGAGGTTACGACGAAGAAAACCGAGAGTACGGTTAGCATCGGCAGTGACAGCACTTATGTGAGTAGCCCATGACAGATCAGAGGTCAGGTGAACGCCTAGGTATTTATATGAGGAACAGGTAGCTACTGGGATAGTGGAAAGGTGATAAGAAAAGGATGAAACATGTGAACTACGGGTGAATGATAGAGATTTACATTTATTAAAGTTTAAAGTCATTTGCCATTTGTGGCACCACTGAGTTATAAGTGCGAGGTCATTCTGCAAAATTTGATTATCATGGTTTGAATTAATAGGTCTATAAATTACACAGTCGTCGGCGAACAGACGTATTGAAGAGGAGATGTTGAGGTAGAGATCATTAATGTATATTAAAAATAGAAGGGGGCCAAGAACGGTTCCCTGGGGGACGCCGGAGGTTACAGTGCAGGTGGTAGATTTGGTGTTGTTAATAGATGAGTACTGGGTGCGATTTGTGAGGAATTCGGAGATACATTGGACGACTGAGGGATGGATATTAATATTTCTAAGTTTCAGTAAGAGACGTTGCTGAGGGACCCTGTCAAATGCCTTGGAGAAATCAATAAATATGGCGTCAGTTTGCTTATTAGAATCAAAGTTTGAGTAAACGTCAGTAAGAAAAGCTGTTAGTTCCGTTTCGCATGAGTATGACTTGCGAAAGCCGTGCTGATGCTCGAAAAGAAGGCTGTGGGAGTCTAGAAAGTTTATTATGTTAGAATAGAGTATATGCTCTAAGAGTTTAGACGACACACTGGTGAGCGAGATGGGGCGATAGTTGTTGATTAGTTGGCGATCACCTGCTTTGTAAACGGGGATGACGTTAGCGATTTTCCAATCGCATGGAATTTCAGAAAGTTGAAGAGACTGCGAGAAAATGTCGCAGAGGAAAGTTGAAGAGACGTGTTTAGTATTTATTAATATTTTCGAGTTTATTTGGTCGTCGCCAGAGCTAGAAGACACCTTCAGCTGATCAATGGCCTTTAGTGCACCAGAGTGGTCGATCATGATAGGATTCATAGGAGGATGAAGGAGTTAGCACAAGTTGGGCATACTTGACATGTCTTCATTGGTAAAGATCGAGCTAAAAAAGTTGTTAGTTTCAAGAGCACTATGTTCGTCAGGAAGTGGAAGGCCGTACTCGTCAACGAATTGTAATGAAAGAGAGAGTGCTGGGTTAATTACTTTCCAAAACTTTTAAGGTTTATTGGTTAAAATGTTGGGGAGGTCATGAGTATAAAATTTGGATTTGGCATCATGAATCGCGGATTTGTAGGCCCTAGCGCATTCGTGATAGGCGTTCCAAGAAGCGTTAGTGTTATGAGCCTTTGCCCTCGTATAAGCTCTTTTTTTCCTGTTGGAGTGACAATGAACTGTTTTATCGTACCAAGGGTTAGTGTTATCGGATATAATTCGAGTGAGTGGAACGAAACGTTTGATTAGGGATATGTTAGTCTATCTTTGAAAAGAATCCAGTTTTCGTTGACCGTCCTTTCTGCGAAGTTAACTGAGAATATGTGATAAAATTCTTCGAGGTTGGTGTTGATAGATGCGTAGTCGGCTCTCGCGTAATCGTGAATGAATTTGCAATAACGTGATTTCTTAGGAGTAGTGATGGAGAATGTTAGCTCAATGACGAGATGGTCGCTAATGCTGGGTAAGTGTGTGACGTTGCTCAAGAGTGAAAGGCCATTACTTAAAGGGTAACTGCAAAGAAAAAAAAGTTTTTTTTTAAATAGCCTAATTGGGACAAGCATGTCAAAAAACAATTTTTCCGCGAGAAAAAAAATTTTTTACAGCAATATTTATTGCGTGAGACTCATTTTAGTTTGCGGCTATTTCGTCCGTTTTGAATCGCGCGCCACGAAGTTGTGATTATGTGACGTCAATCCCAACAGGTTCTCATTGGCTAAGAGTTTGATTGACAGCTTTGGTCTTGGTTGTTAAACTTTTGTTGTATGCTGCAATTTCCTTTTGAGCGGCATATTTTTACGTTTAAAGAATAACCCGTGTAATGAGAGTCATCATTTTTTGCAAAAGGTTTACAGGACGGGCACTTCCGTTTGAATTCATACCATAACAAACAAAAGCTCCGCCATTCTTTTCGTGGCCGCCGAAGCAGCCGACGTCTGCTCCCGGCTGTCGCGCGTAGTTCGTTCGTTTCGTCTAAGTGAGTATTTCGTGTTGACCCAGGTGCTTGAGTAAGACATCCTGAAGTGAAGTGGTGTGTGTTTAGCAGCTGTCGCAAGTTTTAGTGATAGGAATCGACGCGGGTTTATTGTTATAGCGCAGTTTGTTACTTCCGTTTTCCTGGGTCAACTTAGCTTCCTTAGCGTGTTTTCTTTTTTTTTTTTTCTGTTGCTTGCGCGTGCAAATGCCGACTCTTTTGAGATGTCAGTTCCTGCAAACCGGCTCCGTTGCTCTGTGAAGTGTTGCCGGATTAGTGATCGCGACAAGGAGTCTTCCAGCAGCCATGTCGCCCCGAAAGATGACAAGCTGAATGCTATTTGGCTGGAGGCAATCGGACGCTCGCGCAGCGACAAACATGTCCAGGTATGTTCGCGTCACTTCGCTCCGGAGGCCTTCGAGATTCGCACCCCGCTCACCGAACGTCCACGACTGAGACGTGGGGCGGTCCCGACGCTATTCCTACCGAGTGCAACAGCAGCAAGTGCAGCATCATCGGTAAGTCAAACTTCTAGGGATAATTGCTTACTACCTACGCTAAGGTTTCTGGTGGCGCATTGTCTCGTTTTAGAACTGTTCTATTTTATCCGAAAATTGTTGTAACGCTGGTAAGCGAGTTTCAGCTCAGAAGTTAATATTTTGCATCCAGCAATTACAAACATCCTAAATCACTGTGGCCAGTGATTAGCACCTACGGGTACGGGCTACTTGCCTTCAGTGTTGTTTACCCACGCCACCAAGAATTGAATGAAGAAATATCAAAAATTTAGAACGCATTCTCTTCTGTGCAATCCAACCAGCTGATAACCGGACCAACAAGGCTGGGGCCAGCACCTGTGCCTAACCATGACAGCCAAGTTGGAAGCCCCTCTGCAGTGAGTTTTCTGCTGCCGCTATTTTGGTACCCAAAAATTTAGAACGCATTCTCTTCTGTGCAATCCAACCAGCTGGTAACCGGACCAACAAGGCTGGGGTCAGCACCTGTGCCTAACCGTGACAGCCAAGTTGGGAGCTCCTCTGCAGTGAGTTTTCTGCTGCCGCTATTTTGGTCTTCAAAAATTTAGAACGCATTCTGTTCTGTGCAATCCAACCAGCTGATAACCGGACCAACAAGGCCAGCACCTGTGCCTAACCGTGACAGCCAAGTTGGAAGCCCCTCTGCAGTGAGTTTTCTGCTGCCTGCTATTTTGGTCCCCAAAAATTTAGAACGCATTCTCTCCTGTACAATCTAACCAGCTGACAACCGGACCAACAAGGCAAGCACCTGTTCCTAACCATGACAGCCAAGTTGGAAGCCCCTCTGCAGTGAGTTTTCTGCTGCCGCTATTTTGGTCCCCAGTGTGCATGTACATTAGGTGTAAGCTGCACATTTCACTATAATTTCCTCTGCACTTAGCAACTGACAGAACCAAGCAAAGACCAAGCGGCTGCACCTGTGAATGACTGTCAGTCAAGAAGCACATTCAAGTGCTTGAAACCATGGCATTTATTTGTAGGCTGTCGGATGCTCTCCTGTTCAGCTGACTATGTGTACAGTTGCTACTGCATGCAAGAGATTTAGACCATACTTAGTACTTCTTGCAATCTGTGTTGTAGGCTCACTGCTGCAGGTGCTCTGCTCCTCGTGCAACTATTGGCACACAAACAGAGGCCACAGATGCAGACACTGCAGATTCTGTCATACCCGTGTGTGAGTATAACTGAATGCTTAAAGTACGGTGTTTTAGGAATACATCGCAATCTCGGCAGCATTTCATGCCAACTTCTTACTGAGCTTAAGTTATGTGTTCTATCTCCAGCTGCACAGGTCAACCCTGGGTGCAATGCGGCTGCCCCCCCACCACAACCAGGCAGGAAGTCCTCAAGAGCACTTCCGAGTCCAGTGCAACCTGCCACAGCACTGCAAGCTCGGCTACCTTCGCCCATCCCCAGCACGACCTCCAGCCTGCGAGCCCCAGACCAGCTCAGCAGTGACGTTCAGGACAGCCATCGCAGGTCCACGCCTATACCACCTGACGACGACCACAGCGCGTGGCAGGTAAGTCCCAGTGAACAGCTGGATAGGCCTTGGATTGCAGGCCAAGATGGGGAGGTGGAGGATGCGTCAGATGACCCCTCAGACAGTGACATGGGCACCAACGGAAAGAGCGACATGAGCACCGACATGGAGGAGTCTGACATCCATTTCGAAGCAGAGAGCAGCACTCACCCAGGTGAGGAGCTGCACATGCTTCAAAGACAATGAGATGGTTACACCAGAGGGGACCATCCCACCGGACATTTGTTTTTGGTGCCCCCACACCACAACCAGGCGGAAAGTCCCCAGGAGCGCTTCCCAGTCCAGTGCAACTTGCCACAACACTGCAAGCTCGGCTACCTTCGCCAATCCCCAGCATGACCTCCAGCCTGACCTCCAGCCTGCGAGCCCCGGACCAGCTCAGCAGTGATCTTCACGAAAGCCGTCGCAGGTGCACGCCCATACCACCTGAGGGTAACCACGGCGCAGGACAGGTAAGCCCCAGTGAACAGCTGGATAGGCCTTGGATTGCAGACGATGGTGAGCTGGAGGACACCACGGACGACTCCTCAGACAGTGACATGGGTTCCGACGGAGAGAGCGACACGAGCACCGACATGGAGGAGTCGGACATTCGTTTCGAAGCCGAGTGCGGCACTGACCCAGGTGAGGAGCTGCACATGCCTCAAAGAGAATGAGATGGTTCCACCAGAGCGAAACAGTCACACCGGACATTTCTTTTGGTGTGATGGTCTGAGACGAAAGCTTGGCCCTCACTTAACATTCAAAGATGTCTGTCAGAGGGATGCCAACTCGGAAGTGTGTCCATACTATGCTATGCAAACTCATGACCGTTTCAAACTTCCTTACATTGTAGACCAAGATATGGACGAGTCTGCTGGTCCTGGTGAACCCGACACCACCTACGTGCTTTCTGCAGACGAAAGCTTCATGAGGTAGCACTTTTAGGGAAGTTCAAGTGTGCGTTACAGTTGAATTTTTATTTTCAGTGACCGTGAACAGGTGCCACCCCAGAAGGAGCGCAAATTTATTGTATTTGAGGGTTGCCTCCTGGAGCTCTTCAAAGTGTGTCGCACCTGCCTTGCCACTTGCCGCAACAACATCGTAGTCCAGGGCACTCAAGTGAAGATAACAAGCACCTGTGCACAGAACCACGTGGAGCGGTGGTGGAGCCAACCTCAGGTAAGTGGCAAAGCAGCAGGCAATATCTTGATTTGTGCGGGAATTCTGTTTTCAGGAGCCCCTGTTGCGACTACCCTGCGGTTGCTCAAGTCCATCAACGTCGCAACAGTCTCGGAGCGCACCTTCCACTACTACCAGCAGGCTTACCTGCTGCCCGCTGTGAAGCAGGTTAGTTAGTATAGGAAGGGGTTTAAAAATAAAAAAATGGCATAGCATAACTAACTTATAAGACATAATTGCTTGCCAGGTGTACAAGCGGCACAACTCTGAGCTTCTAGAAGGACTCCAAGGAAAGACCATCGACCTAGCTGGAGATGGGCGCTGCGACTCGCCGGGGTTTAGTGCAAAATATTCCACTTACAGCTTCCACGAGGCGAGCACCAAAAAAGTCATTCACATCGAGCAGGTGCAAGTCGGTGAGGTAAGATTTACTAACCAAAACAAAAGGCCTACTCTGCATCACACACCCCTTTGTTTAGAATAATTAGAAATCATCCTTATTGTCTCTTTAAGTGTGATATTTCTAAGAACCTTACAATCAGACTGCAGTACGGTGACTGTTGTACTAATGAATGCATACACATTGTGATCAGTCAGATGAGGTGCCCTCCAGCAACGCCATGGAAAAGGTGGCCTTCGTCCGTGGCTTCACCAAGCTCAAGAAGGAAGACTTCACCATTGGCTCTTTCATCTCGGGTACGTGAAACTTTCAACATAAGCTACTCACCTAACTGTTTTTTTCTGGCTCTCTGTAAGGTTAACCAGCTATCTGTTATTTGGTGTTCATTACAATACAAGCCCTTATATGCAGACCGTCACCCAGGCGTTGAGCACCACATGAGGACCGAAGAAAGGGGCACAAAGCACTACTTCGACACATGGCACATTGACAAAGGTTGGTTTCCCAATATTTCATTTTATTTACTGATAGGCAGTGACTAATTCGACAATCCGTGGTCAAAATAACATTATAAATTACTTTTATGTGTATGACGGTGATTCCAAAGGGCGTGCACCCGCCAAAATAGTTTCTTTATTATTGTGACCTCCTTCGTAGAAGTATTGTTGTTCTCACTGGATGTAATGGAATAAAAGGAGATAACCATTTCAAGGGCTTTGATGCAACAAAATTGATGCGTTTTCCAACACAAAAGGTCATTTGTACGACCTGTACGCCAACGGCATTGTCGAACACTTTGCTTACAGACAGCGAAACGGAACCTTTGAACTGTGGTTCGAATCAAGACTGGGCATTAGTATAGAGATAATCAAACGTTGCTTTTCATAGATTATTTCACAGCAATTGTGAGTCACTAGCGTGAATAGTTGCTCCTTGGTGCTGTTATCGCCGTGGGAATGAGGACGAGACCAAACATTGTACGCCTGAACTCATACCCAGTCTGTTGCACAGGACACCAGTCAAGAAACACCTTGCTTACATGCAGAATAAGACGATACTCAAATTAAACTTTGTTTCTTAAATTTACGAGAGAACAACAGTTCAAAATCCATGCACCACCCGTCACCCGTCGAACTCTGGAGCACAAACCATACACATTCGAATCTTGAGCACATACCACACACGTCGAACAGAGAATGATTTTTTTTCAGGTAGAACTTGCGAAGCACCGTGCCTTGCAAAGAGCGTAAAAGCTGACATGATACCTGAAGCTGTCAAAATATTAATTGAAAGCTATTTGCATGTCTTCGGGAAATAATATCGTAGACTTAGTTTGTTCACAGACATTGAAATAGTCACGGCCATACCTGACTACCCGGCAAATTTCTGTATGGCAGTGGACACTTCTGACGTATAGCTAACAATTGTACACTTTTCCAGGCTTGAAGAAGAAGCTCCAAGCAGCAAGCCGAAAGAGCGAGTCGAGGGAACTGCAGGTGTGGGTGCAGCCAATCACGAACCACCTGTACTACTGTGCAGCGCTGGGTGATGGCAACGGCCCACTCCTAGTAAGTATGTGGCTCAGCTTACTGAACCACGTGGTGGACAAGCACGATGGCCACGATGGACCGTTCAGCGAGTGCCTGCACCAGCCACTTTCTGACCGTGCATGGTTGACTGAGGGTAAGTTCATTTCTCGGTTCCTTGTCCAGGACACCCCTCCTGCGATTCTGATGTAGGAGAAATAAAAATACTTCTGAATGGCGTCCATCATAGCTGTGTGCTTATTCCAGGAACCCCAGCGTACAACAAGCTCCGGAGCATCGTTTCAAGCCCGCGGCTCCTCAAGGACATCAGGCATCTGTCCCCCGGGTCCCAGACATCCTCCGTGGAAGCGTTTAACAGCGTGCTGATTGGGTTCGCCTCCAAGTCTCGGGCATTTACGCCAGAAGGAATGGAAGCGAGGTAAACAACTCTTCTAATTGAATGACCATTCCTGGCATGGTGGCCTGCAGCCAATTCTGAAAACAATATTTAATAAAAAAAAAAATCCCTAATGTTCTTTTCGTGGAATTAGCATGATAGACATGTGCAGTACAAGGTCACTCAATGGCAGTTGAGAGCGCCCGTGAAACTAGGATAATACGGAGTCTATACTTTCTTCCTTCAAGTGTATGTATACATTTCGGTCTCCACATTGGAACCAAGTTCTTTTGTATAAGCACCAGCCCATATCTTGTCTGTTTTCACTGCAGAACCCTGGTTGCTGTACTGCACTACAACGAAAACGTTGGGCGGGAGCAGGCCACAACCCGGGAAGGAGTACGGCGTGGTCGTCACGTCCAGAGCACGGAAGGGCCATTCCACAGCACGGCCAATCCCAAGCGACGCAACGTTTGGTATGTTATTGCTCCTTCGTTTGGGGACAAAACAGTGACACAAGATTCTGTCTTTCAGAGTACCGTGATGAGTTCATGGATGAGGTCATGACCTGCCTGGAAAAGTGGCCGACCCTGAGGGAAGCCCTCGAGGCGAATGCGTCGCAGCATCTGCCACCGATATGTGCCAGGTACCCGAGGCCCCCCAAGAGTGACCTGATTGCGGCCAGACGATCCCGCTTCAGCTTTCATGCCGGGTACGTTAACACAAGTACCGAATGTTTCTGATAACAAGACAGCCTCAACAGTAATAAATATGTCAATAGCCTAGCTACCTCTTGATCCAAGGGATGATAGATTTTACAATAGCCTTCAACTGCATTATTTTTATGTTTTTGTTGATAATTGGCAATACAAACATTTTTAGCTGTTGCTAATATTTAAATTTTCTCTGTAGATCGTCTCAGGACCAGTCCTGAAGCACCTTTGGTTCCACGCAGCCAAGTCTGCGCCTCAGGCGTGAGGTAGGTAACGGGTAACGCGTAGTGAAGCGATCATTTTCCTCCTGCGAGTTTCAGGTGTGCCCTCCGTGCTGCAACATTACCCTGAGGCATAGAGAAATGTGTTCTCTGCGGGTACATTTTTTTGCTGCGATTTATTTAACTGAACTGCATTGCTGTTTCATTGTTCCTTTCTTTGCAGTGCAGGTAAGTGCCTTTGTGCTGCTTGTCTGTGTGGTGTTTTTGTATTTCAGAAGCACACGTAGGTGCTCTAGTCACTCTTCTCCAAGTGACCGAGCCTCTGCTCGGGCATGAGGTAGGCAACGTGTAGGGAAATCATTTTTTTCTTTCCTGAAAGTTCCAGGTGTACCCTCCGTGCCTAAACATTACCCCGAGGCATAAAGGAAATGTGCCTTGTGCGTCCCTCAATTTTTTGCTGGTTTGTCTAACTATACTGTGTTGCTTTCTTAGCAGTGTAGGTAAGTGCTTGTCTGCTGCTTTTGTGCGTGGCGTTTTTATATTTCAGAAGCAGCGGTGGGTGCTCACGTCGCTCTTTTCTGCACGGCCATGTCTGCACCTCGGGCATGAGGTAGGTAATGCGTAGTGAAGCGATCATTTTCCTCCTGCGAGTTTCAGGTGTGCCCTCCGTGCTGCAACATTACCCTGAGGCATAGAGAAATGTGTTCTCTGCGGGTACATTTTTTTGCTGCGATTTATTTAACTGAACTGCATTGCTGTTTCATTGTTCCTTTCTTTGCAGTGCTGTTTCATTGTTCCTTTCTTTGCAGTGCAGGTAAGTGCCTTTGTGCTGCTTGTCTGTGTGGTGTTTTTGTATTTCAGAAGCACACGTAGGTGGTCTAGTCACTCTTCTCCACGTGACCGAGTCTCTGCTCGGGCATGAGGTAGGCAACGTGTAGGGAAATGATTTTTTCTTTCTGAAAGTTCCAGGTGTGCCCTCCGTGCCGAAACATTACCCCGAGGCATAAAGGAAATGTGTCCTGTGCGGGCTCAATTTTAATTTTTTTTCTTGCGATTTGTCGAAATATATTGCATTTAACAGTTCTATCTTATTGTTACTTTTGCAGTGTGGGTAACTTCCCGTCTGGTTTGTTCTTTTTTCAGAATGCTTCAAGTGCCAATTTCCCTCATTGCTTCCCTTCCCTTCTTCCCCTTCCCCCCCCCCCCCCCCATAAACTGGTGTGCCGTTGATGAATGGCAAGTGTAATACAAACCACATGCCACCATATTCTGAGGCTTTCTATAACGTACATCCCTCCTCCCTCACTGCATGTGTAAATATCAATAAAAGTTTACTCCACTGACTTTTTTTTTCCAGAACTTCTTTATTTGCATACAACATTGCACACCAAGTCAAAAGGAAAAAACCGAATACCACAATTCGCAAACACAACATGCAGTGCAATGCAAGACGTTTCATGTTACTGGGAAACACAGAAAAAAACCTACAACATAACATAAATGAGTATGAAACTAAGTTAACAAATAGCATCAAGACACTAGCTGTGTAGTAATCACCCTTAAAATCTAAAGCTTGGGAACTACTTTTTTAACAAAAATAATTTCAGGACCAGAACTGTCGTTCGTACACTTCTTACACCTCACCGTTCTAACGTGACCCTTCACATATTCTGAGCGCCTCTTCGGTCACTTACAATTATGTGCGATCCTTTCTACTGTCGAGCAGCAGCCGTTGGAATTGGGTGAAAAAAATGTAAAGAGATATTTCGAAAGAAAAAAGAGGTGAAGTTCGTTTGACCGCTCAGGAGGTCGCCTCGAATGCTGGTAGCCGCTGTATCACGGATCACGCCGACTGTTTTGGTGGCATCCTAAAACCAGTCGTGCTCCTGATTGCCTACCGAATAAGGGCAATGGAGCTGAACGACATGGGGCTCATGGGACAGAGGAGCACCCATTAACTGTTCTCGTAACTTTAGGGATGAAGTTGTGTGCTCATAAATCCCACGGCTCACAGAGCTTCAAAGCCCCGGTATTCATCAGATGGATACATGTTTCGAATAGCCTGTACAACACAAGCTGGCAAGACCATCCGGTTCCCTCTGCCAAGGCGGCGCCAGATCCACCAGACAAACTGCCGGTACGCCACATACAGGTACTTCCTGTTGAAAGACCAGAATGATGATTTAGGTGACATATGAGAATACAAGAAAAACTCGGGGAAGAGACTGCTCTGAAGAGCAGAAATGTTGTGAATCTAGAAAAAAAAAAAAAGAAACAATGGACTATATGCAATCAAATCAGCCCACAGTAAAATTAACTTATCACCTCAGATAGTAACAAGATGCACATAATGTGAACAAGTATCGCTCCTCTTGCCGATTGTCTATGCACCAAACAAATAGGCCCCCATCGACAGCAAGGTCAATT